ATTTGTTCGAGAAATTCAAAAAGAATTTAAGAAACTCATTAGCAATCACATGTCTCCCCACTTCCATTAGTCATTGAAATGAGAGCCATGCGTTTAAAATGAACAGCTGAGTCAGCATAGTTCCATCATTTTCCTCTTGTTTATTTTTTACTCTATTCCATACCATTCCACTTCACTATATTCCATTCCGTTCTACACAATTTTATTCCACACCATTTCACTTGACTCTATTCCATTCCGTTCCATTTTGCTCCACACTCTTCTACTACCTTCCATTTCATTCTTTTCTATTCCATTCTATTCATATTTCACGAAAAAGCAATTTGGGAATCATAGTCCACTGATACACTATCTTAAAAAAAAAAAAAAAAAGAAATTACTAACCGTTCCTTACCTGTCATGTAATGTAACAATCATCCAGTTGCAACATATATTTATGATTGCAAACTAAATTGCGCTTATCGGTTTTTTATGTTACTTCATTTTAATTATTTCAATATGAATTGGTTTAAATGTTACGCTAATATTACCGTTTATGTATTTTGCGTAAGCTGAAGTATATGCGTGACATGTGATCTTGTCGTTTTTATAGCGAAGTTAAATTTCATTAGTAGGAAACACTGATGGTCTTAATGTTATATAAGCTATCATTTATAATTTCTTGATTCATTTGTAATCTTTCCAATTATTTGATGCGAATATCCTTTTTTTTTTTGTCCGCAAAACTATATTCTAGCAAAACTAAAATTTGTCACCATGAAAGTGACAGGTGACATAATGTGTCACCACGACAATTTCACGGTGACATAATTCCGCCATTAAAATTAGATATTTTGTTTTTTTCTTCAACCTGTTGTTAGTGTATGTTTTTTACATAATATGCTTTATTATTTTCGATCTTTAATATAAATGAAATGATTGAAGAAAAAATATGGGACATATTTTACATATTACAAACTTTTATATGTTAAATTACTTTTTTTTAAATCAATATTCATTGATAAAGAACATTAAAATTTTGTCCTTTCATGCTTAATTTATAATATATGATTTCTTTTATTTATTTATAACTTTTTTTCTTATCTTTGTCCTTCATTTATTTCACTTTATTAACCATCCTAATTAGTTACGTTAATTTCTCTTTTTTTTTTATTTTGTTCCAAGTGATCCTTATCATTTGATGTTATTCCTTTGTGTGAAAATGTTTGGAAAGCAGAGAAATATTGAAGAATTAAAAAATTTTGTCCTTTTCAATTTTTCAGACGATTCCACATATTAATTTATGACTGTTTTCTTATTATTTTTCTTCTTCATATATTTCATTTCATCATTCATCCTAATTAAATTACGTTCATTTTGCCTAAAATTTTGATATGGTTTTCGGTTGGATGCAGTAATTAAGTCATCATTGTTTATTTTCCGTTTCAGTGATGGATGATTTCGAAGCATAATTTTACATTAAAAAAAATCGTCACTGTTCTGTAAAATTGAAGTTTTAAAATCATTTTTGCTTTTGAATATTCTCAACATTTAAATGTCTACCCCGAAAAAAAAGACTAAAATCAGTTTTGCATCGATTTTAGCTATGAAGAGGTAGGAGAGATGGTTAGATTATTATTATTTTAATTTTTAATTCGAAGAAAAAAAAACTGGTTTCTTTATAACACATTGAAATCACGCAACATAAAGGTTGGATGTTGTGGTATTTTT